CCGTAACACACATAAAAAAAAAAATAAAAAAAAAAAAAACATACAGACGAATTGAGTACCTCCTTCTTTTGGGAAGTCGGTCAAAAATAAATGAAAACAAAGGACTATGATCTGTTTCAATTTAAAATCTATATGACCCTATAGAGGTCTACCCTAAGTACTAAACATATTTCGATGAAATAGTTCCACGGCTAGTTTTAATTGAGAGGCAAATAAAGTTTAAAAGTATTTAGATAAAGGTGAATGAAAACAATAAAAATGTTAAAGCATAATTACACCCCTTGCAGAATTTTATGAGCAATGTTAAGAATTTGTTTGTTAACATTAATTATTAATAGTGATAGTTTAATTGTCAGTGCCGGTTTTAGTTCTATTAGCGTCTTCGGCGAGTTTTCTTAGCATGAATATGAGATCGTACCGTGAGTAATTTGCATACCAATAGGCAATCTGAGCGATCGCCTAATCAAACTATATCCCAAAATTGGTATTGCTAACAATGACACAAGATAATAAAGCAATAACCGTTACAAATTAGATGGTGATAAAATGGGATGTTATAACCATTTTTTGAATGTCCTTTCTAATGTTTTCCTGTGATCTGTGGTTGGTAATTCGCGAGCATTGCTGGGACTTTTTAGTGAACTATGTAAATGAGTGGAATTTGTACACGATGGCGGGTGGTGCAACATATACTATTGACCGTAGGACATAAGGATAAAACAAAACTGTTGATAAGGAAGATGTACATATCTCTCTCTCTCTTCCAAACTCTCTGGATCAATATTAAGGATTGTATTATTTTGTATCCTCGCTTTGTATTGCAGGCTAAAAGGAAAAGTAGCTTCTTCGCAAAAGATGGCGCTAGTTGTCATAAGTATAGTGTCATATTGTTATTACATTATTATAACAAACTAGCTTTCGCCCGCGTGATATTAAAAAAAATAAAACCAAGTAGCCTTTGTGTTCTTACAGACTATCCGCTACATGTATGCCAAATTTCATTGAGATCCGTTGAGCAGATTAGGCTTCAAACTCTAACAAACATCAATCCATCCATCTAAACTTTCACATTTATTATATTAAGTGAGATATTAAGATTGAGTAATTAATGTGTCAAAAACTCTGATATGTCATAATTAGTAAGACCTTACCTAAAAACAGTCCTCAATAACTTGTCCAAGGTTTTTTTCAAATTCTACTTCCTTTATTTATTTTCATTTCAAGTTAATCGAATCATCTTTGTAAATCAAAATGAAACTGAGCGAAAGAGAAAGAGAAAAAAGTTGTAATTTCCAACCAAAGACATATCCATTTATACAGATCAGAGCTTATCCGAGAAATCGATTACTAGAGTACCAAGTTCCTAGTATTAAAAGTATTGGTAGAAAAACACGAAGTTTTCTTCGAACATGTTATTAGGACTGCCTCGCTTAAATGTCATTACATTAATAACTCATTACAATACAATACTAATCACTTTGAATAATAACGCATCTATTACACGTTGTTAGTACTCGTAATTAGTAATCATTTATCAATGTCTTTTTATTAACTATCGACTGTCGTTTACTTTGCACTAGTAACAGATGTTGTTGTCTTTTACTCAATTACATTTGTCGAGTGTCAGTGGCTCAGGGATTAACTTGTCATGTAATCTACAGGTTCGAATCCCGCCGTTTACAAATGTCTTTTTCGAAATTCAAATTTAATTTACCCGATGCTCTTATGGTGAATAAAAACATTGTAATGCCTGCAAATAGCGGCGAAGAAATTTACAGGCACTGAGACCAGGGTGGTTAAGTATGGCTTAATCAGCGCTAACTTAGCGTAGGCATTGAGTCGCTCAGTGGGGACGTATAGTAAGAAGATGATGGCGATTTACATTTTTCCGCAAATGTCATGGGTACAGTCAGTTGATAGTTTTTTATTCTGTTTTAGAAATTACCTTGTTTTCATGAAACTTTTAATATTCATTTTAACCTGTATAATCCTGTCTTATAAAAATAATTTTAATAGCCATCGGAATAGATCTCGTATCATTTTGTTTAGGGAATATTATTGATTATTTGTTAAGAATTAACCTAAAACGAAGTATTTATGTATCATATCACTCAATTTAAACGATTTGATAGTTTTCTTTCTTGATCATTGAGATTTTTACTTATGGGAATTTTCGATATATCGATGTTGTTTTTTTTAGGCGAGTCAACGGCCTATTAAAAATAATAGGTGGTTGAACATAGGAATCGCATCTGACGACCCGAAATACGGGTTTGTTTAGTTTTTGTTACACTAAATACCAACGTATAAGTTTTTCTTTGGGACCACGATGTGAGTAAAAAGTTTTAACGACAAGTCAGACCTGTTTTAACAAAGCATACACTTTTTTAATAGTTTTTTTTAAATTAGATTATTAGTACTTAGGTTAGTGAGTTTATCTTACTAATATTATGAATGCTAAACGTTAGATGGATGTTAGTTTGTACCCTAAACGGCTGAACAGATCTCGATGAAATTTGGCATATACGTGGCGGATAGCCTGGAAGAACGTATAGGCTACTCACTTTTGTTTTTTTTTTAAAGCTAGTTTATTACATTTTTCCGATGAATACTTTCATATAGCCTTCTGTAGGAACTGATTTTTGTTGACTTATAAACTTTAGGAAAAAACTTTGAATTACCACAGGTTAAATATAATTTATAATGTCAAACTCAATCAAATTAGGTAAAACCGCTACTTGACAGGTTAATTTGATTATTCTGCCTACAGTTGTACACTTATTAAGTATTATATTAGTACCTATGTAACTCTTGTATTTTTCTTATTACATAACTAGTTGAACCCGACATAATTTGCAATAACACGCCATCTGCAATTGCAAAGTTGTCTATAGGCATCGATTACTTCGATATTCCAATGAATTTAAATGACCGCTTGCTTCTTATAAGCGCACACTTATGACTAAACTATCGCATGACAGTTGTGCGATTCTCGATTGTTTTGCAGCCAATTCAATTGTTTAGTTGCATTACTAAAAACCGAGTAGTGTGCGTACCTGCGTAAGCGCGACTAAACAGTCGTGAGTAGTTTAGTAAAAGGTGTGTGCGAAAAAAAAAATAAAAACATATAAATAAATAATAACATATACGTTTTAGGACGAGAAAGTTATAAATCAATTTGATTGATTAACTATTTTATCAAATTTTTTAACATCTAATGAAATAAAAACTTCAAACAACGCCGAAAAAGGTGTGAAAAATGACAACTATAGGAATTTTATTACAATTTTCAGTTATTGAAATAACGCACTGTTGCTAATTACATATATTTTTATTTTAAATTTCAAAGTCAACAGATCAATGGCCGCTTTAACACGGATAAACAAAACGAATTCGAGATTTTCTAAGCTTGTTCAACCGCAATAATAGGTGATCTTACTTCAATGTCATTCAAGGTTATCGAGGATAGTATTTTATATTTTAGTGTTAAGTGGCCGTTACCATGCTTATAATGTTACAAATGAGTTCCCTACCTCTATTGGAGAGAGGTATAAAAAATTTTTTAATGTCCCATTCCTCCCCCATTTCATATCCATCCTTTAAGAATCAGTCGCACCACACTCAACCGAACAGTATTATATTAACTACAAGACTATCTTCTTTGTGGTTGTGGTATTTACACCAGATTATATTAAACTAGCTAGTCCCATGCGGCTTCATCTGCATGAGACTTAAGAGCGGGCGCACACCTTTGATTAAACTATAACACTTTTGTGCGATTGATTATTATAATGTGACTCCTACATATCAAAGAATTGTGTGTTTACGCTTCATTATACTTCATACTAATATTATAAATGCAAAAGTTTATAGATGGAAGGATGTTTGTTAGAGAAACGGCTGAACGGATTTCGATAAAATTTGGTATAGATGTGGAGGATAATCTGGAAGAATATAAAGGCTACCCACTTTTTTTTTAATTCGGTGCGGACGGAGTCGCGGGGAAAACTAGTAAAGATTTGTCCCTACATATACATAAGGATATTGTTCTTACACCACGTGAATATTAATAATCATAAAATTTTAACAAATACATAAAAGAGAAGATTCGCAACGTTAAACAAAGACCCAAAAATAAAAACAAATAAATATTATAATTTTTAAATTGTTACTTACATTTTCATTAAAAAAATGCACATTCAACTTATATCTTTATTATTTTTTATTAAAAAAAATATTATTTTATTTTAGTTTTATATGATTTTATGTTTTTTTAGATTTTTTTAATTTTAATAGACTAAGGCCTAGTCACCCGTTGGGTAGAGTTCAAGTCTCTCGGTGAACGCATGTAAAGACTAAAAAAACATATTTCCCACGTGTATTCTGAAACTACTAAAGATTGTGATGAGGTCTTGGTAAGATGTTCTCAGAAAACCAGAGAGGGTAGGGTACTTTGGTAGTAGGGGTAATTGTTCCCGAAATTCTTTGACTAGCAATAGCATTGTATGTACTTTTTATCCAGTATAATCCAGCAACATCCATACAAATTGTTGCATTTATAATATTAAATACTAGCTCTTGCCCGCGACTTCGTTCGCGTGGTATTAAACAACACACGAACTATGTAAATAACAAAAAACTACGTGTCTCTTGGGATTCGGACATTTTTCTTCGATGAACCTTATCCAATGTGTACCCCAGACTTTGTTTTATATCTGGGCCAAATTTCAATAAGATATGTTGAACCGTTGCAGAATTACCGATTGAACATTAAAATACAAAATTAATGAATCCCAATGGAACCGTATTCCCGGGATAAAAAGTAGCCTATGTGTTCTTCTAGACTATGCTCTACATCTGTGCGGAATTACATTAAGATCCGTTCAGCCCTTTAGGCGACAAACGCTAACAAACATCCATCCATTCAACCATCCATCAAAACTTTCGCATTTATAATATTAGCAAGATTAGTAAGATAAGAAAACATTTTTAGAAGCCGTGATTCATATCGTTTTTCAATTACTTTGCTTCATGGAAATTTTTAAAGACCTGATTTAGGTACTCATTAAAATTCCTTTGAACTATAGTTTTTTTTTGTTATTAATAAAAAGCTGCCAACCTTAACCAAAGGTCATAGAATGAGTATTATTTATTTTGTATGATAACAAAAAGTTATTGAACACTGCTTGTCAACAAATCACTTAGCGGTCGTTGTACAAATATCAATATAAAATAGTTTTTCTTTATATTTGGTGACGTAGGTTGTATATATAAAAACTAAAAGGCGATGGTCAAGTGAGTATATAATTCGTGATGTTTATATACTACTGTCTAATTGCCCGGCCGACAGGAGGCTAATGTTTTTACAAGTTTGTATATGCATGATTTTGTATGTACAATCACGGAATTCCGCGGTGTTCCACTTAGAGAAGAATCGCCAACGAGACAATCGTAGTTCATCCAGCTTATTTGCCATCTTATTTATATCTATACTATTATAATAAAGCGTAAACACACTCCTTTGTTGCTCAAGATGTTAGCAATTACGGTATATTTTTGAATAATACTTCTTCTAGTAAAATGCCCTACACTTACGTCACGTTTTAGGCTATATATTTTCACGCCATTAAACTTAGGGGGTAATTTTGGATAAAAAAACCTAATATGGGAAAGAGAACATAAATTGCTGCCAACATGAAGGAAGCAAAGTTCATCATGTCATGTCATTTTACATGATAATTTGACAGATGTAAACAATAAAATAAATTTTTCATGCCAATGAAGTCGCACGGGAACAGCTAGTTTTAACATAAAAATAAATTAACTACTAATACAATTTTCTATTTACTAGAACTGGTTTAATGTACATGAGGATAATATAAATATGAAAAACAATAAAGTGAGGTTATCAATACGATTAGTTACTAAGGAAGACGTGTTTAGGTAATATAATAATATATACACGATATAAGAATTGACGGACCGTGGTTGTTCATTGTAAAAAGTAATAAAAAACTGTCTTGTTTTATGAATTTAAAAATCAGACTTTATAACGTCTTGTTAATATTCACAGTAGTCTGTTAATTAATAGAATTTAAAAAATTAATGGATTTACATTGCCAAATCACATTTATAAAAATATGTTATCGTCTATATTCTTTGAAAAAGAGAGTAAACACGTTTCCTTACAGAAATCCTCTGTAAGAAAACCTTTAAATGAATACACCTAATAAAAAATCGATTTTGCCCATGATTTCGCCCTCACGGAATTTAAAAAAAACTTAGATAGGAGCCTATGTTTTTTTTAGACAGTAATGTGACACTTCAGACATCTTCTAACATCCATCCGTCCAAACTGTGGCATTTGTAATTAACAAATATATTACAAAAAAAAAACATTACAGTATCAGTTTTTTACTAATTGTATCATTACACTTTTTGTAACATTTTTCTTGTGTATTGTAGTTTTTCAGAATATTATTTAAATATTAATTGTTTAAAACTAGTAGGTACATAGTTTTTCATGGTAGTTAAAATGATGTTATTAGTTACTAAAGTGTTTTTTGTGTAAAAAGTTTAAAAAAAATTACAAGTAAAAATGTATGAACAAAAGATATTTAATTACTTATTCGTAATACAAGGCAGTGACGAAATGCTTTGGTCACTTCCTAATTTAAAAAAAAATAGAGAGAGCTCTCCATTAGAGGTTGCATATAATATTTGTAACAATAAATTTTACTTAGCTATTTATTTTATAATTTTATGATTTAAAAAAAAACATCCAAATCAAATAATATTGTATGTATTGGACGGAATTGGAGTCTTCTTAGCGGCGATAGCGAATAGAATCCGGATTAAAGCTATGTTGATTCCGAATTCAGAAAATTCTTAGGTATACAGAAATTTCATTCAGCCAAAAATACATCAAAAACAGATGAATTTTCTAGAGGAAGATTCGAGCGGAACCCTAAAAGTTTATAGGGAATTATGACACATAAAGTTGTTAGTCTGGTTTTGACAGCAACTTATAAATACTGAGATTATATTAACAGCGCCACATTATAAAAGTAGCATTGGACTTGCGCGTTGTTTCCATTGACATAATCTCCAAGCAAAATGCGGGAAAAAAGTTTAGTTGTAACGCTCCTTTTTGCAGTATTCTATTCTATCGATGCAAGTGCAGGTAAATAATAACAAGATTTTTTAATATAATGCAATGTATAATTGATGATAATGGATTTAAGAATATTTATAATTATTATGTAATTTCAATAAACACACCGAGAGGCTTTTTGCTTAAATTCCGTTACTGATTTATTTCGGAATTAAATTATTTTTGTTTATTTTATTCTAGTATGAGAGATCTTCGACAAGACGATCTAATTATTACAATTTGTAAAAAAAAATAGAAATTATTTTATTTGTTTATTTAAAACTTTTTGCACAAAAACTAAATAATAATAATACAAATCTTAAAATATAAACAAAATATATGCAAGGGCAGCCTTATTGCTATGAGCAATATATTATAGGCAACCCAGTGGAACAGGAGAAGCTAGACAAGGGTGTCAGTGTTACAATTAGTGTAATTTATTTTAATTTTATAAATTATAACATACAAAAGCCTAACTTAAAATGTTTTTAAACGAATATCCTTGTGAAAATTTGCATAATTAAAATTCGATATACTATTATAATCGAAAATTTATTTAAATACAATTCAATTTGTGATATTTTAAAATCAATATGACCTTTATTTTTTAATCTGTTAGCTGACTACGGAAGTTTAAAATGTAAGCCTAGCTACGAAAGGCAAGAGATATTCAAACCTAATTACAAAAAAAACAGCTAAATTTTGGACCCACAGATAAAAGTAGTCGGTGTTCATTTTAGCTGCGACTCCAAATTGCGATTCTTGGACATTGAAAGAAAATGTGCAAGCAGAATCTTATCGACATCTACGAAATTTCTAATTGTACATTCGGGTCGATCACTCCACAAATCTCATATAAATTCTGTCCACGATACGAATTTACTCTCGCAGTTTTTCGCACTAGGTCCACTGTTTATGAGTGACGTAAATTTTGTATACGAACAACAGATTAAAAATGTATCTTTCCACAGTGCCCGTCAACAAGAAATGTGCAACAAACGACTCTAAATGTTTGAAGGCATCAAGTAACTATATGATACCGATATTTGCGGCTGGTCTTCCCGATAACGGCGTCGAAACTCTGGATCCAGTAACATTTCATAATATCGACGCAAGTTCACCCAATTTGAAACTCATCTTAACCGATGTCACATTCAAAGGCCTTAAAAATTCTGAAGTGAAAAAGATTAAGTAAGTAATTTTTATTTATAATTTTAACACAATGAATTTAAAATCTTGTGCAGGAAAATCTTTTTATAAAATTATGTGTTATTTTAATAAAATTATAATGTTTAATAATACTGGCAAACCTTTTGATGGCTCCTATTTAAACTATCGTAAATTTGTAATACAAAACTTTAAATAAACAATTAATAACGACGTATGTAACATGAACAAACCAAAATCTACAGTTTTTCTAATGTTAGATTCAAATTTAGTGTATGTATTCACTATGTCCCTTATCATAAGGAATTCAATATAGTGAAATAACGGACTACAGTTAGTCTGGTATATCCCTTTGGTTTCAAAAATGATACGAATTTTTCCTATTGATCAATACTTGCATACATGTTTTTGAAAGCAAAGTCACAGTTACATAAGTTTTTAAACTTCTGTAAATCTTACTAATATTATAAACGCAAAAGTTTAAATGGATGGATGGATTGATGGATGTTTGTAGCCTAAACTGCTAAACGGATCTCGATGGAATTAGACATACATAAATGTAGGATAGGATAAAATAGGCTACTCACTATTGTTTTTTTAATTTCCTGCGGACGGCGTCGCGGGCCAAAGCTTGTGTATTCATATTTTTGAAGTTGACCGGAAGAAAAACATATAAATAAAACTTCTATTATCATTCCAGAATTGATAAATCAAAAGGAAAACTCCTGATTAAGTTGCTATGCTCTGTCGACATGGACGGATCCTATGAGATGAATGGGAAGCTGCTCATCCTACCTATCGAAGGCAAGGGACCAATCCACGTCAAACTAAGTATGTTGAGTTTTTTTTTTTTTTAAAGTTTTACTATTGACCTACCTAACAACGCTCCTATGTGCAATAATATATTCTTCGATTTTTTTATTAATGTGGTAGGATTCATGTGAATATGTGAAAAGCATTATCTGATTGTTTTACAGTTTTCCAACAAGTGGAATCTTATAATTTGTTCTGTTCCATTCGACCTCTTCATTTCGTCAGTAAATCTTTATACTAAATACCCTGCATATCCTCAACATCACCCTGCCCTCTTTAGTACCCTCTTCAGCGCCCTCTTCAGCTACAGTATGCAGTTCTCTTCCATACATCTGAATTAACTACCTTCTTCGTATAACTTCTTTCACATAATCTATATATTTTCTAGGGTCTTTCTTCTTTCCGTTATAGTCATCCCCACTTAGTCTCATTAGTATCTTATCTTTCCGCAAAATGTGTCCTTACAAGTAACATATTAACGACTTTAAAAATGAGGAGGTTCTCAATTTGATTGTTTTTTTTTTCATGTACAGCAATTGCGTTGATGTTTATGATCCACTTTGTGATTTTGCTTCTCAAAATTTTAATGAAAAAAAATTCAAATTCTTTATACATTTTATCAGGTTTACTGTCGTTGAGATAAAATCGTAAAGTTTGACTTAATTATATCACTTTCCGGATCACCGACCTTCACTGCATAGTTCACTTGATCAATTCGTTTTATTATGAGTTAATTTTAACGTACGCATTTTCGGTCATTCATAATAACTTCCGTGATGTATAAGTAAGGTCAGTTTGTTTTTAAAAAATAAGAGCGTTTATTTGAATAAAAATGAGGAATTTGAACGCTAAGTCATGACAAAAAGATTAAACAAATAAATCGAAATAGAACAAATCAATATAAATATTCTAGAACCATAATTATTTATGAAAATGGTTAACTAACATTTTTTATTTAAAATGCGAAAGTTTAGATGGATGGATGTTAGAATTTGTAACCTAAACTGCTAAGCAGATCTCGGTGAAATTTGGCATAGATGTAGAATGTAGTCTAGAAAAATAGGCTACATGCTTTTGTTTATTTTATTTACTCGCGGACGGAGTCGCGGGCTAAAGCTAGTTTAAATAAATTCATGTGCAATTTTTCATAAAATAACTATAAAGGATTAATATTAAAGCAATTTTTTTCAGGGAAAGCTGAAGTAAGTGTTGAAGTGGACGTTAATTTTGAATCCGCTAACTGGAAAATCAAGCAATGGAAACATTCTTATGAGTTGAAAGATAAATCAGAAGTTGTTTTCGAAAATCTCTTCAACGGAAACGAAGTTTTGGGTAAATACATTATTAATTAGAATAATTGAAATGTAATGTTTACATTATTTTAAAATTGTTCTGACTGGCTTAAATTCAGCTTGTAAGGTAGCGCCATCTGCATTTAAATCGCATGAACCTCCTTCGACATCTGTTATTTTAAAAACACACCACAGATGTCACTACTTAATAATTTATTCTCATATCTAATACACAGATATATAATTTCCTCATCCTTCATATACATGTGAAAGTTTCGATGAATCGATAATTTTTTGTTACTACGTATATCGAAAACTTTTGATGCACATAACACTGCCTCTATGTTCTACCCTCGTGTAAAAAACATAACTTTGCAGATTGTGACGCAATAGAACTGAAGTAACCAATTACTGTCATTAAATAATTTAATTGTCTATAATTAAAATCCTTTTGTTCGCAGGGAGTGTAGCCCGTGATCTTGTCGCAAACAGCGGCAATGAAATCATCACAGAAGTTGGACCACCAGTCATTAAAACCGTCGTTGACAAAGTCATTAACTCTATTGCAGCTCTATTCGATACTATTCCTGCAAGTGAATTGTCTTTAGATTAAAACTTAAATATAAGGGAACTTAATATGTAAGTGTCGGTTTGTTATTTTTGTTTAAATAAATTGACTATTAAATTATCTGAAGTATTAAATATTTGTGTTATTTAGCACTTTTTTCAATAAACAAAACAGAATTATCGACTGAAAACACAAGCACCGTGTGCTTGTTCTTTAATAGTAGTACATAATTTAGGTTATACATAGGTCTATTAAGATTTAATACCACACATAACTTCTCTCATAAAACTATAAAAGAAAGACGTATATCTAAAAATATGACATTACCAGACAATTTTAAATTTAATATTCAGAACATGTCCTATAAATTGTTATCGCGACATCAAACTGTCATCAAGAACTAAACACTCGGCGTTGGTATTATATTAAACCATAAAAGAACAATTATTCGAAATCTTCACACAGAAGAGACAAGTATAAAAACGTCAACACCGCACTGAATATTTGGAACACATGGTTGGCGTTAACGATTTCTATTCCGTCGAATAGAAACAAAAAAAACAACTGACGAGACCCCGCTTTAGGGCGCAAAAGAAATGCAATGATTATTTCAATTCAAATGCTTTGTTTGAAATCAAAACTTACAAGGTCTAAAGTATAATAATAAATCTAAAACTCTTTGCGAAATGCTTCTTTACTTGCAAAGTGTAACACAAGCTTCAGATGGATTGTTACGAATCTACTGCTTTACGAAATACTGGAAGATAATGGAAATGTATTGCGTAATAATACAATTATGTAAAAACTAAGTAAAAACGCAGAAACAAAAAAAAAACAAGAGTAAGTAGCCTATGTGTTCTTCCAGACTATGCTCTACATCTATTCCAAATTTCACCGAGATCTATTCAGTCGTATAGGCTACAAACTTAAACAAACATTCATCTATCAATCTAAACTTTCGTATTTATAATATTAGTATGACTAGCTTTCACCCGCGTCTCTGTCCGCGCGGAATAAAAAAAAACAAAAGGGAGTAGCCTTAGTATTCTTCGAGACTATCCTCTAAATCTTTAGCAAATTTCATCGAAATCCTTTCAGCCGTTAAGGCTACAAACATTCTATTTCATTTTAATTCATTCATCTAAACTTTCGCATTTGTAATATTAGTATGAAGTATGATTTTAACTAGAAAATGGTAGACATTAATGTACCCTAAGCATACGAGGACATGGATTTATAAAAGATAAAGTATTACTTGGGGCGTTGCTAACTGCCAATCAATAACCTAACAATTTATCTGTCAGGGGCGATACTAACAATGCAATTATTGTCAAGTGCATTCTATTTCCATGACCAGGGTTCGGTACTAATATTTATTGACAGTAATTATTGTTGTGTTTTCACGAGAAAGTACACAGACTTTCATATTAAAAAGCTGTGTTACTAATACCAACATTTATTGTAAAATAATAGCTGAACAACATGGATAAGGTGAAATATTTAACTCTGCTCAAATTCTATTTTTTAAAATGCCAGATGAAACACAACAGTATAAAAATCCTTTACACATTTAGGTATATACTTGATAGCTTTCTGAGATAAAGTATATCAAAACATAGGACAATTATTTTTTAACTAAAGAAATCGGAACCCTAAAATCCATCAAGCGTTAACTCAGGCGGTGTGTTTGTAAATCGTCTAGCAAATGTTTTGCAGCTATCGCGGGGGTATCGGCACGTGCCCGAACCATTTGCGTGACGTTCGCTGGGATTTTCTCTTGTTAACCAACTATAAACATCAAATAAGCTGCGGTCTGCATCTATAACGTCTCGAGGGGAAAGTACAAAAGTACGCGTCTTAATGCAGGGTGCAAGATTTATGCAAAAGTAATTCCTACTCATTTCCTTACTTTTGCCCGACTAGCTACCCTGTAAATGTTTTTGTGCATACGTACTGTATGTACCGTCAATTAGTGAGAAGACTTTTTGGTTTTATTAACTCAACTAGCTGATCTGGCTCTACCACAATTAAATCTATAATTACTAACACAAACTACATAATTTTAATTTCCACTTTTATGAATTTATAATTGAGGCTAGATATCCTTATTCATGAATAATAATAGCTATCAAGTGAATTGACTTTGTTCATAGCCTTAAAATATGCTTGATATAAATTAATTTCATTATTTCTTGAAACTATTTTCCTTGTATAAACCTGTATAGACAGCGAACTACGAAAGTTGGAAGTAAACGTTTCTTATTATTTTGAAGTTATTATGTGCACATATATAGGTATTCGCCTGCGATCCCGTCCGCGTGGAATTAAAAAAAAAGGAACCCATGTTTTCTTCTACACTATGCTCTATATCTATACCAAATTTCATCGAGATCCGTCAGCAGTTTAGGCTACAAACTCTAACAAACATCCATCTAAAGTTTCGCATAAAAGGTATTTTTTCTTGGTTCAATTATTTGTGAAAGTTTAACTTCGTTATCGTATCGTCTTTAATAAAATATAGTCTTCATTACCTCTTATGTTTTCTTCCAATTTGCACAGAATAACCTTACCAATATGGCCGTCGTGTCGTCGAGCTTATGCAACACCCTTATTTTTGACATCCGACTACTATCCGTTTATTTACACAACAAGCACAATTACGACATTTTAAAACCAATACATAAGTATTTTAAATAATGTTTTGGATCACAATTACAAAACTTATATTGTTATTGGGAAGTCCTTGGCTACTTAAAAACAGGAATCCTAGTTAAGTAGTCAAGGCAACACTGATTTATGTAATTAACTTTAGTGAGCAATAAAGATATTCTTATTCTTTCTATTTCAAATTATGACAAATGGTATTGATTTATAGCACAGACTATTAACCTAATTAATAACCTTCAAGAATACAAAATACATCAAATCAGTTAAAAAACTAACAATAGTTTAAAGCTGTACAAAGTCGAATTGGTGTTTTTATTCATATTACAGTCGTACAAAGTTTCATATGCAATTGTCACGGCATTATTTATATCGTATAAGCAAACGTGACCCTTGCGATGTAATTATCCAAATATGCAAGGACCGCGGGGTGCATAGCCATTGCGTGCATGAATACGTGAATATTATAATTTACAGAACAAATAACCGACAAACAAACAATTTGCAAATCACAATCTGTCGTGATTATTGCAATTTTATGTTAAACATAGAAAGCATACAATTTTACAATGACATGCATATTTTTAACAATCATAATACTTTAAATAACGCCTTAAAATTTTTTTCTGCATAGAAAATGATATAAATTTGAAAGCATTGTAACATTGGAAATTCATAACATATTTAAACTGTTTTAACTTTCGTAATTTTAGGCAACTTATTTAATTGATACCGTCGCTCACAGCAACACTTCTCACCAGGACTCTGGATGCGCGCCAATCTATCCATACTTCTAGTGACATTGACAGCTGTCAGCTAGGGACGTGACGTTTATGCCGATAATCTAGAGTTGCGCCAATTCTATAGCACGGTACTAATTTTGATCCTAACAGTAAGAAATTAAAAATGCAATTAAAAACGGAGTAACTAACATATAATCTTCCGGTGACGGCACCGTCTAGTTTTAGTGCGAGGCAGGACGTCACCGCGAAGAAAGACGCCCTGAAGATGGACCCACAAATATCCTTATTACTAGCTGTTCCCGTGCGACTTTATCCGCATGAAATTATAAAAATTTTATTTTATTGTATACATTTGTCAAATTACCAATATCAAAATGACATGATGACCTTGCTTCCTGGATGTTGGCATCAATTTATGGTCTCTTTCCCACATTAAGGTTTTTATCCAAAATATTTACCCCCTAAGTTTAATGGCGTGAAAATATATAGCCTAAAGCATGACGTAAGTGTAGGGATTTTTATTACAAAAATATGCATTAATTGCTGACATCTTAGGCAATAAAGAAGTGTGTGTTTACGCTTTATTGTAATAGTATAGATAAAAAACTGCCAAGCTACATTTACCTAAGCCAAAGTGCTTTTGTGTGTTTATGTCACTCCTAAGCTAAATATATCCAACTTATTACTATAGACACTTTCAAATAGATTTGAAAAGTTACTACTTATATCAAAGAAGTAGAATTTGTTCTGTCGTAGTTCTATCAATTTAAATTAAACATTGGATAGGACGAACTAAACCTTAATAATGTATTGGTAAAATGTTAAACTGAGTGCTTTAAAGCGGAAACCCTTTTTCATGTCGATCTTAATGAATATACAACACCTAGCGTGTGTCGACGGAGAATTAAAAAAAAGTAATTCCGCAAACAGCTAACATAACAAGGGGTTTTCGAACGGAGTTATATGAGATTGTTAATTTACAAGAAGTAGCGACTTTATTATTATGAATAACTGTAATCGAAACAGTCACCTAAATAAATCTGTAAACATTTTTAAAGCTACAGAATATGCCTGTGGTTTCAATATGAATGCAAGTATGCCTCTGTATGCTTCCGACTACGATATCATACTATTGACGAATACGTATGACGTATTCTTAAAACCAAAGGCTTAAATATGATTCTAAAGTTTTGCAAATGTATTCATATTTATGTAGCTGACTGTACAGTATTGCCAATATATTCACACACTCGATAAATAACTTAGAATATAAATTAGCAAAATCCGCTTTGCGCTTCTTAGTTAAAACATTTGTAAAATAGGAATGTAATGAAAAAACATAGGCGCTTTTAGGCCTTTGTTTCCGCAGCCTGAACGGAACGAAACAATTGGATATTTTCTTTTACAGATGGCAATAGATGTAACAAAGTTTAGTTTTTAGCGGTTTTAAAATCTGAGATAAAGAATTTTTTTTTTTTTTATAGTAAAAGGGGGCAAACGAGCGGCGTGTACACCTAGGTGGTCAACGACGCCCATGGACATCCGCAACACCAGAGGAACTACAGATGCGTTGCCGGCCTTTGAGGAAATGATAGGCTCGCTTCTTGAAGGACCCTAAGTCGTATTGGTTTGGAAATACCGCCGAGGACAGACCGTTCCACAACGCGGCTGTGCGGGGCAGAAAGTTCCGCGAAAACCGCACGGTTGGATGGAATGCCAGCCATCGA